ACCAGGATTTTGTAGTTTTTATCACACAGGTCTTGCATGTGTCTTACAATTCCAAAGTATTTTATGTTCCAGTACGCTTTAAATATTGAATTGTTTGGCTGGGAGTGGTGGCTTATACCTGTAATCGCAGCACTTTGGGAAGCTGAGGTGGGAGGTCACCTGAGGTCAGGAGTTAAAGACCAGCCTGGCCAACATGGCAAAACCCCATCTCTACTAAAAATACAAAAATTAGCCAGGTGTGGTAGTGGGCGCTTATAATCCCAGCTACTCGATAGGCTAAGGCAGGCAGAATCACTCGATCCCAGGAGGCGGAAGTTGCAGTGAGCCGAGATCGTGCCATTGCACTCCAGCCTGGGCGACCAGAGTGAGACTCCATCATGAAAATAAAAAAAAAAAATTATTTGGCCAGGCGTGGTACCTCACACCTGTAATCCCAGCACTTTGGGAGGCAGAGGCGGGCAGATCACAAGGTCAGGAGTTGGAGACCAGCCTGGCCAACATGGTGAAACCTCATCTGTACTAAAAATACAAAAAAAAAAAAAAATTAGCCAGGCATGGTGGCTTATGCCTGTAGTCCCAGCTACTCGGGAGGCTGAGGCAAGATAATCGCTTGAACCTGGGAGGCGGAGGTCGTAGTGAGCCAAGATTGCACCACTGCACTCCAGCCTGGGCGACAGAGTGAAACTCCATCTCAAAAAATTGAATTATTTTTATTTCATTTTTCAGTTGCTTGTTGCTAATACATAGAAATGCACTTGTAAAACACTGGCCTTTTGGCTGGGTACGCTGGCTCACTCCTTTAATGCCAGCACTTTGGGAAGCTGAGTCAGGGAGATCACTTGATCCCAGGAGCTGGAGACCAGCTGGGCAACATGGTGAAACCCTGTCTCTACAAAAAATTACTCGGATGTGGTGGCATATACCCATAGCCCCAGCTACCTGGGAGGCTGAGGTAACAGGATCACTTGAGCCTGGAAAGTCAAGGCTACCCTGAACCATGATTGTGCCACTGCTCTCCAGCCTGGGCGAAAGAATGAGAAATCCTTTCTCAAAAAAAAAAAAAAAAAGACAGTTGACCTTGTGTTCTGCAGTCTTGCTAAATTTACTTGTTAGTTCTTTTAGCTTTTTTATATGTTTCTTAATATTTTCTATATACAGGATCATGTCATCTATCCTTATAAAACAGCTTTACTTGTTTTTTCCCAATCTATATGGCTTTTATTGTTATTAGTGCTTTATATCAGGGCTAGGTCTTCTAGTAAAATGTTGAATAAAAGTAGTGAAAATGGACATTCTTGCCTTCTTTCTGATTTTAGGGTAAAGGTGTTTAGTCTTTTACCATAAATTATTATGTAAATTGTTGGTTATTCATAGATACCCTTTCTCACATTGACTGAGCTCCCTTCCATTCCTAATTTACTAAGAGTTTATATCAGGAATGGGTATGGATAATTGCCAAAAACTTGTTTCTGTATCTACTGATCTAGTATATTCTGTTAATGGAGTGAATAACACTAATTGATCTTTTAATGTTAAATCGGCCAGGCACAGTGGCTGATGCCTGTAATCCCAGCACTTTGGGAGGCCGAGGTGGGCAGATCACCTGAGGTTGGGAGTTTGAGACCAGCCTGACCAACATGGAGAAACTCCGTCTCTACTAAAAATACAAAAATTAGCCAGGCATGGTGGTGCATGCCTGTAATCCCAGCTACTTGGGAGGCTGAGGCAGGAGAATCACTTGAAGTCAGGAGTTTGAGA